CCCCAAAACCCCAAAACCCCAAAACCCCAAAACCCCGTTTGAGAAATTAAAAATTGAGTTTAAATTTCTCTCCTATTTTCTTCAGATACTTCTTCCTTGTCAATGATAGAGTATCTTTCAAGGTCTAGCTCAGAGAGAGGTATCTCCTCAGTAAGCTGCCCACAATTTGTGATAATTATTGGGGTTAAAGGTTTGTCATTTGCTCCTGTTTCTACTTTCTCAATTTCCAGAAAATGATCGAATCCTTGAATTACCCTTCCAAACACAGTATGCCTTCCATCAAGCCAAGGTGTCTTCTTGAAGGTGATGAAGAACTGAGATCGGTTTGTGTCAGGACCATTAGTAGCCATTGACAGCACACCTCCATGAGAATGTGGGTACCAGAACTTCTCATCATTAAATTTTCCACCATAAATACTTTCTCCTCCAGTTCCGTTTTGATTGGTTATGTCTCCTCCTTGAGCCATGAACCCAGTTACTACTCTATGGAAAACATTTCCTTTGAAATGTAAAGGTTTATCCTCTGTTGATTTCTCTCCTGTGCAGAGACACCTAAAGTTCTCAGCAGCCCGAGGAGTGTTGTTATTGAATAATTCGAAAACTACCCTCTTATCCTCATTATCTCCAATCTGAATATCGAGAAAGACAATAGGATTCGATGGATCATATTCGGGAAGTTTCTCTTCATAATGAGTGATATCTGGCTTTATCTCATTGTAAACTCCTTCAGCAAAGAAATCAGTCAGCATCTTAGCCTGAGACTTATCATGAGCCTTCTTTTCATCTTTACATGCTTGGAATTCTTTCCTCAGAGCTTTATCCTTGGGACTAAGCTTAATGGCACTTTTCAAGTCTGCAATGGCATTCTCAAATTGCTTCATTTTTCGGTTAGCATTAGCTCGGTGGTAATATGCTTTAGGGTTTTGATCATCAATGTTTATTGACTTGTCACATGCTCTAATGGCTTCTATATAGCTTTCAGATTTATTGCAACAAACTGCTATATTTACAAAAATTGTCTTTTTCAGGTTTTGAACTTCTTTATTATCATTCTGGACTGCATCCAGATGACTAATGGCCTCTCTATAAAGTCCTTCAGCTTCTTTAAATTCTTTGAACTTGAATTTGATTCCTCCGTCCTCTTTCAGCTTAAGCGTGACTTTAATCCTCTCTTCGTCACTCATTACCCATTTGGTTGGCCTTCTCTCATGTGTATTGAGAAGCTCAATGGTGAATCTTAGTTTGGCATTTCCTGGGATTTTAGGAACATGGCCTATTGCACCATATCCATATTTAGGCTCAATAAAGAGATCTGCTTTTTCTCCAATTTGCATATCCATGATTCCAATTTCCCAGCCATCAATGACATGACCTGCCCCGATGATGAACTTGAATCCTTCGTCTTTATTATCATAGGTAGAGTCGAACACAGATCCGTCCTCGAGATATCCCTTGTAATGGACGACTACCTCGTCTTCTTTTTCAGGCTTTCTGCCTGTGCCTGCTCTGATCATTCTTTTGATCACTCCGTCGTCTTGGGTCAGGTGGATTTCGTCTATGTAAACTCCTTCTTTACTTTCGTGTATTTCTTCTTTCTCCATATTAGAAGTTTTACTTGACCTGAAATTAAAAAACTAATTCAACAAAAATTTTCTCAAAAGGGGTTTTGGGGTTTTGGGGTTTTGGGGTTTTGGGGTTTTGGGG